CAAGTTTTGTTACAGGCTAAGATCAGCTGTTACATTACCCAGGATCAATAAATTGAAAACCAATTATAAGGAACAGCTGTGTCCAATTCGACTCAAACCAAGGCCCCAGTAGAAAAACAGGCCATGCTGCAGGATCCATGACGTCACACTTGTGGATAGATTTACTGCAATATCCCATGTATTAGATAAATAAGCTGGCTGTTTGTCAGATTTTAACGGCAAGATTTTAGTAGAAGTAGCCACCACTGTGACGTAGTGTTGAGCTGCCCACGCTATAGCATGGCCTGTTTTCTAGTGGGGCCCCAGACCATCATGCGTTTGTAAATAATCTACAATATTTTACAATCTACTTTCTACGTGATTAAGGAGAACCACCCTTATTCACCACACTTATTCATATAATAACAACCGAATACAACTCGCGACTTGTTTCAAACTGAATCATTCTCAGTCTTGAATCAGCATTCATGAATTATTTTAGAAGATATTTTTTCTAATATAAATTATTCAATACAAACCAATTTCCAAATCTTATAAAAATCTTAATATCTTTAAAAGTAAATAATTTATACATTAATTGACATAAATTCCCCTAAACAAAATTGTATTACCTGAGACCTCAGGAAAAACATATTCTAACTTCAAAACCCAAGCTTACTGTAAAACATTTTCAAGCTTCAACCCCCCTTCTAAAAATATGTCAAGTTGTCATATAAAGACAGGTTAAAGTAATTGCACCATTTAAATTACAATCATTTAACTGTAACAAGTTTCTATAAATCAGTCTTTTAAAATGGTATACATTTAAAAAGCATGACAAATACCGGCAGTAGTTATTTACTCAAGTGTTTTATAACGGAGTAAAGAATAGTAAGAGTAGGAAACATATTTCAATTTACATACCAATTGTATGAAATACGCTTCAAAATGATACCTTTGAATAAAAAAAATGAATATGAATAAATAAAGCACAATCTTTTCCCCTGTTTCGAGACTTAACTCAAGTGTTGTGAAAAGATAGAATCAATCCTATTACAGTTCCAAGGGTTCTACTCAACCGTTACTAAGCTTACGTTTTATCAAGTCTCTCCGGTCTTGTTAAAATATCGGTCACCGACTTACTACAATAGCGGTTGGAAATTCGTATAGAGTCTTCCCCACACAGAGTTGATAAGATTATTCAAAGGTTTATTTGCGACCTCACCTTTGTAAACATAGTAGGTGGTTGGACAAGCCAAATTAATACTTTAATACTTGTCATTGAAATGGCAACCATACAAAGTACAAAGTAGGTATTTTAAGCCAAGTATGAATGGAATTCTACGTTCAAACAGTAAAGAAAGGTAAATGTTGAATGCATACAGTTATAAGCTATAAACATAAAGTCGAATAAAGGTAAACGAGACGAACAGTACAACGATGAACAAAAAACACGGGTAGGTGATTGTGTGCGAATAATAGAAGGATCTTAAAATTGAAAGGATTGAGTAACGTAATATATAATGGATGATGTATTCAACTAACAGACATTGGTGACCACACTACTAAAACCTCACCTAACCTAACCTAACTTAACCTAACCCAACCTAACCTAACCTAACTTACCTAACCTAATCACATAAAAACTTAAAAGGGGGAGAGGGATGATATTCAGTTAACATATGATGTCTGGAAAAAATCAAATTATCAAATAATCAAGAAAATAACAATAACAAAATTATGTTAGTTTTTGCTTTTACATGGGTTTGTTTTCCTGAACGTACTGTGGCAGTTAAAAAATATGTCTATTTGAACGTTATTAATTGTGTTGAACAGCCATTGAGTTGAGCGGCGAACACATTCCAAGGTTCGTTCTAGAGAAGTGGGAGGAGAAGCAGGACTACTAAAAAGTCCTGGGGTAGAAGAGGAAACGCGAACGTGACGTGAATTGAGTGAATTGTGTCTGGGCAACGTGAACCGCACACGGGACAACAGCTCTGCGTCGTCTAGCTCACCACACACCAACCGCCTCAGATACAACATCATTGACACTTTACGTAAAGTATTAAACTGGACGATTTCAAACAGTGTGAGAAGTTGTGAGTATGGGACCAGTGTCATATAGTGACCAAATGTCCTGAAATAAAGAAATCTCAAGACCCTTCTTTGGACATCCTCTATTAGATCGGATAAATAGTTCACACTAGGATACCATACCACAGAAGCATATTCTAATATTGACCTGACCAGTGAACAATATAATAGTTTAATACTTCTCTGATTAGTAAAAATGTTGCCTAACCTGTGGATTAGACCAAAAGTTGAGAAGCAATACAAATGGAATATAGTTGTCTTACAAATGGAAGTCACGTGTACATTATATGTAAATCTGGAATCAAATGTCACACCCAAGTCTTTAATTGAAGTTTTCCTCGAAAGAAGATTACCTCCAATATTATAACTACGCATAATGAGGTTACTTGCATTTTTCTTTGAATATGCTACAACAGAACATTTATCCACATGAAATTTTAGATTGTCACGACTCCAAAGAAACAATCGATCGAGATAATCTTGTAGCAGAACACAATCTTGTTTGTTGTTAAAAATAGAAAATATTTTCAGATCGTCAGCATATAGAAGAAACTCGCAGTGTATTATAAAATCTTTTAAGCTATCAATGTACAAAATGAACAGCAAAGGTCCCAAATGACAGTGAGGGGGGTGCCTTGGGGCACCCCTGAGTCTACTCCATATTTTTCTGATAGGTGTCCCTCAAAAGATACAGATTGTTTTCGACCTCTGAGATATGAACAGAAGAGTTTAATGAGTCATTCAGAAAAACCGAAGTAGTTCAATCTCGAAAGCAAAGACAGGCGATCAACTTTGTCGAAGGCTTTTTCAAAGTCTGTGTAAATTACATCAACTTGATTACCACTATCAATAACAGGAATACAAAACTCAGCTAAAATTAACAGATTTAAATTAATGGATCTGCTGGGAAAAATCCGTGCTGCGTTGAAGAGATAAATTTATTGACATGGCTGAACACTTTATGATGAAGAATTGATTCAAATACTTTATCAGGAGCAGGAAAAATTGATATTGGACGATAATATATGATGTCTCTTCGGCCCTTTTTGAAGATGGGAATTATTTTTGCTTGCTTCCATTTCGTTGGGAAAACACTGCTGGTAATCGCGAGATTAAAAGTAGCTAGAAGCGGTTCAACAAATAAATCTGCACAGGCTTTGAGAATATATGGCGGTATTCCATCTGGACCAAGAGATATTTTAGGTTTAAGGTTTTTGAGTGCATAGAGGACATCGTGAGACGAGACACAGGAGACAGTGAGGCACGGGACGCCAGGCAGGGTCGGTGAGTGGAGATCGCGATCGAAACACGTCGTCAAACCCCCTTACAATCAAAACTGATAACCATAGGTGGGTAGAAAAAAATGACAAGTGTGGCCCCGGCCTAAAATTCCTCACATCGCTCCATAGCTGACGCGTCTCTCTGCCGAGCGACACGCTGACTTAGATAGACCCCTCGCTGTGATATCCGAGATCCTCCGAAGCGATAGCTTTCTTCACCGTGGTCCTTCATGTCAAAGCGACGAAAGAACTTCACTATGATACAACGCGGGAGATTGGGCTTGTTGTCGTTCTTGGACAGTCTGTGCACGGTGTCGATCATGTCAAAATTACTCAATCAAAAGTCATAAATTTGATTATTTCTCGGATTTCAACACTGCTGAGCAGCATGGGTCCTCTAGTTTATAATGAATGCTCATATTCAGGGCTATTTACCGTATTTCCGAAATAATTTTGAAAAGTTGTAATTCTTTATTTCACAAAATACTATCCAGTATAATATTTACGATTTTTGAACCCACCCAGGATAAAACAGTAGACTATTGTTTATTTACATTTAAATTACAAAACAATGTACAAAACCTAACAATGACACGTTACATTGAGGTTTTATCATTTGGCCAAACAAAGACACGATATGCAAAGGCATTCAACTAGATGAACAATATTCAACGTTTTGTTTGTAAATGATTACTCCCTTTACCAAGTTTTCGTATGAAATTCATGAATTTTAAGTTTGGTTGTCTGTGGTTTTGATAAATAGATTGTTGGTAAAATCAACAAATACTTAGGTATATTTGATTTGATTTACTATATATTAATTAAATAGTACTCTGTTGTTTTGTAGTTGAGTATGAGTTAAGGTTTGAATTGACGAAAGCAAAGACCAATGGTTTGGTGCACACTAAAATAATAATGATTTGGACACGAAGAAACTTTATAATAAATAACTGAATCTTTTGGAATTACTTTTTAATTTCAAGTAAAGTTTCTGGAGAAAGCAACCGTTTTTGTTTGTTTTACTCAATCTTTCTACATATACAATTAAAATGTTATACCTACACAAAATAGTTTTCCTACAGTCACCTGACTATAAAAAGTGTAAAGTGGGCTTCCTTGCACTGATTATTGTACAGAAAGTTGCTAATTGCTGCATTTACTTACTTTTGCGGCACTCTTTTTTTTCCTCGCACCAGAATTCTAACCAAACAACACAAAACAGTGTGCTTTTATTAGGCACGTATACGTGTACGCTTTAAATTAAGTAGGCAACACTTAAAGATACTACGATACGATCAACTAACTGGTGCAGCGTTTCCCATTCCGTTGAACGCCTGGATTTAACCTAACCTAAAATGTGTTCTATGGTGTTTGAAAGATTAATTATTTATATGCTTTATAGTAACTGTAGGCAAAACAATGTGTAAAGTGAGTGCAAAGTGCCTTTGCTGCACATGAGAGAAATGATTACGCACGAGCCGCAGGCGAGTGGGGAAAGTTTCTCGAGTGCACAAATTGTTACTCAAATAAATAACTACTTTTTGCCATTATTTTTACCTTGTGTTTTGACACTGTTCGATATAAAACGTGTGCAGAACATGAAAAAGTGCTAAAAATAAACTTTAAATAATAATCTATTATTAGCATATGCCACAAACGTATGAAATCCCAGCCAATCAACGGTACTTGAAACCAATCGTATCTTTAACTATCACTCAAAACGAAGTAGATAACTGTGATTGCTAAAGTGAGTTGGGCAATAAGTGGCGATTTTGTTCCAATAGTTAGTGTGTTCCTGACGTTCCACCAGCAACATGATCTGGATTTTTAGTGTCTTTATAGTTTTGGGACTATCGTCAAAATGTAACAGGTATGCTTGTGGAAATAATCTATTTTAGACCTACGTTTTTAGTTCTGCTTAAGTGATTTTACCATACGAACGAGCATTGGTAAATAAACAAAAAGTAGGAATTTAAAAAAAATGGTCCACTACATGTTTAATATTAACGTTGCATTTTAGTTACAACCTGCCCTGCATTATTAAGTGAGTTTTTTAGTAGTGTTAGTTATCTTCACAAAACAAAATATGGGAGCGGTTGGTTATCCGTTTCAGTTCAAATTTGCGGCATTGTAATCTACTAGTAAAGACCTTTGATTTTATGTGAAGATCAATCCATGCTTACATTTAAGACTCCTAGCGGGCCGTCCCCCTTGAGGAGGTTGCACACCCCTAAATAACGTAGAAAACGATTTTACTGTAATACCTTAGCTGTGCACAAAGTTTTAAAGCGCTACCTTTATTAGTTTTTGAAATATTTAACTGTCCTGGGACTTTTTTCCTCCCTGAGAGCTTCGATGAGACTGATTAGCTCACGATTTTTTCTACAGTCAGGCCGTGGACATAACAGTGACCACATCTAAAGGGCAGGTCGTGGGCAAGCAGTGGACTCCGAAACCATCCAGTCAAGCGTCCTACGATGCTTTCCTGGGAATACCTTATGGCAAAATCTCCGGACGATTTCAGGTAAGTAAAAAGTATTTAGAACCTTAATTGCATATTTTTACTGGTGGAAGCAACTCGATTGCTTTGAATTCATACATAGTTTTACTATTGTAAATTAATCAAACTCCCTCATAAATTTGTCATCTTTAAGCATCTGTTGGTGATAATAAATTTTAAAGTTTCCGAAACGTTTGTTTTTCACTAACTTTAAATCTACCTGTAGAAAGATAACTTGCAACAAATAAATCTAGCTACTTGCTGCGGCAAAGGAAGTAAAGGAAAATTTTCAAATTTGACCTAAATAAAGATAGGGACATAACATTTCTTTTAGGTCTTGCCCAAAAATGTATGCTAATTAATTTAATGTAATGGGCTGACTTGTGTATTGATTAAATCGTGGTGGAAAATAACAACTGTTTCCGCTTAAGTACAAGTTGGATATATTGAATCCTGTTATCAATTAATGATTGACAGAATCATTACCAAAATATACGAATGCCCACTCTATACTATACAAAGTGTTTTCAGACAGCTTGAGAAAGAAACAATTCTAGATTAGCTTTTCATACTATCTAATCATGTTTAGTCACTTAGCTATTCACTGATTTAAAGTACTTGTAACCATTCTGAATGGAATGGAGTTATGTAATCTAAAAGATGTACGTAGCTGAAAAAAATAACAAAATAAAAAGAAAGTAAAGTCCTTATGCTACCACATCACTTAAAAATGTTTGTCTTCGTCGTCTCCTTACATTTGAAATGGACTGTCTAGCCAGCGATCTAGGCTGGTCCTTTGGGAATATATTAAAATGCACATACCACCACAGGACTTAGATTTAGTTTAACTTAAGCTGGTTCTCATATTTATGATTGTTTTGCGTGCGAACAACACAACTGACCAGAAAATACCTTGTCAACAAAGTGGTTTCTCATATTTATTTATTGATTAATACAGTAATGTCTGATAAAGAAATTTGTCAAGCAAGTTTTGTTTAGCTATGTATTGACTAGTAAGTCTCATTTTAACAAAGCAAAACAAAAATTGTTGTAAAATTAATCATTTTTGCCACCATAAATATCTTAAAATATTGGCAAAGAGGAATATAGACTCTAACACACTCTTTGTGTCAATCATTTCAACTATACTCTTTTTGAAAAAAATTAGCTGCATCTGGTCTATATAGATGGTGTACTTTAGGATACACAAGTTGCTTGTTAGTTTCTTCTATAGCATCCAACAATGTGGCAACGCCGGGCCACCGGCCTATTCCCATACTTAACAAACGTGTAAACATCAGCATTGCGCAGGCTACCCAAGGCTGCGACGTTGCCACTTTTCTCTCGCCGCAGCCTTGTATTAGAGGCTATTACTACATAATACAAGTCTTTGAACAAAAATCAAAGACCGATACTATATTATGTAGTTGGCTGGAAGTAACAGCTGTTTGTTGTTTCAGCCAGCTGTTGAGCGAGATCCTTGGTCCTCTCCACTCGCTGTTCAAGCTGATGGTCCTGTCTGTCCTCAACCCAACGCCGTCTTCAGCGAGGACTGCCTCTACCTCAACGTCTTCACTCCTGTGGTAAGCTAACTGTGGTCGGATCTTATTCTATCGAATTACATACAAACTATGAACTTTTTACATTATTACAGATTTCATTATTTCAGATTAAATTTCGTTGGTTAGAATTGTTGATGCTTTGAAATACTTTTGAAAATCGAATTAATTTACATTCGCAACAACAGAACATTTATAGTAATGTAAAAAAACAATTCATAAATTGTTTATTTTCTCGATTATTTTGGAAAAAAATATGTTAACAAATTTCTTATTTCAACCAAATCCTATAAAAAAATACGAAAAAATGAAATAAATAGAGTTCATTTGCTAACTCACCAAAACTGTTGTTAAATATGGTCATAAGAGGTAAAGTTTGGAAAAATATCTTAGATCCTTAAACTGAAGATCCAAACAGTGGTTAAAATAGTAAAAAATAGCAAAAACTACCTTGTGTAAAAGCTGTTCTAACTTAACCTTATCAAGTATTAAACGGCGGGAGTTTTTCCAGGAGGCAGGGATTGAAGAATTTTACCCTTTAGGTTAGAAAATGTGCTTTAAACAATTCAAAATGTCTCTGTAATAGGAATATACATTGAAATAGGAAAAATAAACATTTTTATTATATTCTCTCATTTACAGGATGCATATAAAACTCCAGGAACGTATCCTGTGATTGCTTACATCCACGGGAGCGCCTTCACTGCTGGGTCAAGCGACTCCAGGTTCTATGGTCCCGACTTTATAGTTCCCGAAGGAGTAATTCTGGTTACTATGAACTACCGTATGGGAGCGACAGGTATTTACTTTACTTAGTTACTAAAAACTACTAGAATAATGAGAAACCCTTCACAATGTTTCAATAGAAAAATATTATCAATGAATTCACTCTCCACCAACGCCTAAAGTTTCGTAATAATCGTCACTTTCAGCTAAAACAATACTAGTAGATGTACCTGTGCTTTGGGGTATGGCTAGAGTTTTTTAGAAGCTTCAAAAAATCATTGGCCAAACCCTATATCAATACCAAGAGTTTTTGGTTCAGTAGTTTTTGCTCGATGGAAGGGCACGCAGAAACCATATTTTTATAACTGAAAAGATAAGCGACATCGTAAATTTATGAAAAATACTTACTGCGTCATGTTTGAAAACATAAGTATGTATTTGAATGAGTTTATTCATCAGATTTTTGTTTCCTAACTAGATTTAAAAAATATAAACACGAAGAACAATGCTTTTTATTTCCCTGAGGTGTATAAACAACAAGAATTAAACTGAAATAAGGAAACTTGACACAACACACAATATAAACGCTTATTAAGCTTTATTTTCCATTTAAGCATCACAAACCATTGTCTAAGCTTGGAAAACACCTCTACAATAATAGAGCAGCAATAAAAATCTTCATGTAACCAAGCAAATAAAATAGTTTAGATTTTTAAAGTACAAATACAACTGAAAAGGAACACAAAAATGGAAAGATGAAATTGTAAGATAGGAAATATTTAGCTTTTCCTTATGTTCTTGTCATTTATGCTGCAACTGTACCGTCCAGGGTTCCTCTCGCTCGGCTCCTCCGTAGCTCCTGGCAATCTTGGTCTGACGGATACTCAGTTGGCCCTTGAGTGGGTCCAAAAGGAAATCTCCGCTTTCGGAGGAAACCCGCAGCAAGTGACCTTGGCTGGACAGAGTGCTGGAAGTGTCATGACCATGTTCCACTACTTGTCCAACACCTCATCAGGTAGGAGAGGAATTTATTTTTAGGATCGTGAGAAAAGTTAAAGTTCAATGATTTTCAGGGCTTGTGGCTGCATGTTATTGGAGATACAAGCCTTGCATGGAAGTTAGATAGTAAAGAAAATGCCAACTAAAATACCTCCGTCCAAATATCTCTGGGTACACCTACGTACGAGAAAGATTGCTGAAATACGGTAAAAATGCACAAAGAATTTTAGAGATTAGGGTCTTTGACTCTATGATCTCTTCTTGTATGCTTCAATAAATTTTTTTTGCCATATTTAAATGTATATGGAAAATTATGTTTTTAATTAGTAAAAAAAAATAATCAAAAGTCTGATTGCGATTTTCAAACTATCAGTTTACCAGACCAGACGTCTTGAAATCTGTAGGGTTATTCTTCTCACCATGTCCGAACTATTTTCCAGAGAGACATGGTTTACTGTGGGAACGAAACTCAGTTGCAATGAAATCGTGCCTCATTCAGAAATGAATTATCCATTGCTTGTTTAGTAATTAGAGTGTCCAACGCTACGAATGCTTCCTCACCAGTTTCCTGATAGCTTAAGATGGTATACTGATAGCCTTGGATATGATGAAGAGCAGAAGAGGTTAAGTTGTGGAAATCCAACACCAACAATATTTCTAGTGCCACTGAGGGGGTTGCTGACTGACGCTGTAGGTTGTGACTCGAAGACAATTATTGACTCTCCCACTCACTGGTCTATTGTGCAGGCATGTTCGAACGTGCCATAGCTCACAGTGGATCAGCGTTGTCTACGTGGGGTCACGTGACAGCTGCTAAGATGGTGAGACGTGCCAAGATGCGGACTGACTCTGTAGGCAGTGACTCGAAGACAATTATTGACTCTCCCACTCAATGGTCTATTGTGCAGGCATGTTCGAACGTGCCATAGCTCACAGTGGATCAGCGTTGTCTACGTGGGGTCACGTGACAGCTGCTGAGGCGGTGAGACGTGCCAAGTTGCTGACTGACGCTGTAGGCTGTGACTCGAAGACGAATGACACCGAGATACTGAAGTGTCTACAGACTGTCGATATCAAAGCAATCGTCAACAATCAAAACATCACTCTTCCTGTAGAAGTAAGTGCTGTATGTTTATATTGGCTGAATTATGATAGTATGTCGAAGCTAAATTTACACAATTAATTAATAAAAAAAATTAAACCCATCTTTTAGAGATAGTGTTGTTTTTTTTTTAATTACGAATCTTAACGTATGTTCATAAATAATAGCAACAATGTTTTCCTAAGCTTATTTGTTGAAGAGATGTACATATCTTAGCAGCATTATTATATGGGCTTTGTATTTACACAAAAGAATCATGCCACTGATATTTCGTCCTGGGATGGGTATTCTTTAGAGATAAGTGCAATGAGAGATTTCTGTATCTATAAAGCATTTGGACATTCAATTTCTCAGATAATCTAGGTAAAATTGTATCCCCTGAAAACCAACCTCTTGTTTTTATGTTATGGAGTAATGTGGCATATAATTGATATAACATTTGCCATTTCAGAACGTTGCATCTGGAAACCAACTTCCTTTCGTCCCTGTTATCGACACTAGCTATGGGAAGCCAGCATTCTTTACAGATAGTTTGGAAAACCTCGTGAAGAACGCAGTGGCGAGAGCAAAGCCATTGGTCACGGGATTCACTACAGAAGAGGGAATATTTTTAATCGGTAAGGTGGAGAACTCATTTTATAAGTATAAAAATTGTGACATTAGGAACCACATTTGTTCCATACCTTGATTGTTTTGGTTCCGTTGCTAAAATATACTTTAACAATTAATTGTGGAACAACTATTTTTTGCATAATTAAAACCGTATGCCGAGAATGTTACGTGTTGCTAGAGACAGAAGTATGTGTACAAAACCATATATCTGTCTAATAATTAATAATGTTGCCTGAATAATAAACAAAGGTGAAAAGACTGAGCCTGATCTAGAGATTAGAAGTTGGAGTTACACCCTAGAGTGTCGGGATCGAATCTTTTTTATTCTGTGCTCGCTGATCTCTCCATCCACTGATGGCTCTTGGCTGTGTGAAAATGCCGTCAATCAATTATCAATTATCAATTATTTAAGATGGGGACGCAACTATGTGCGTATTTTAACCCAAATATGAGTGAAGGATGAGTGTAGGATGAGTGGCGCGATCTTGTAGTCTTGTTAGTCACTTGGTGATACGAAGCCAACACAAAGCAATACGGCTTCTCTCCACCAAAAATCACAACGATTTGTTAGTTATTAGATGAAATTAAGTATTGATAGATAAAGAGAAACATCTCAACGCCTTAGTCTGTTTAAAGACTTAGGAACCCCCAAAAACATCACTATAGTTCGGCTAGTGGTGTAAAAGACAAGACAAAATCGATTTTTGGTTGGGGAATGGTTTCATTGTAACGCACTCCTTTTTTATCACAATGTTTCAGTAGACAGCTCTTCAAAAAGTACATGAAATCTTATAAAACTTATTAGGCCTACTATTAGTACGGCCACTTCAAAGAAATACGTTATAGTGATGGTTAAGTTCTAACAAAATCAATGTTTTGGATTCAAAAAGTCATTACATGAGGTTTTTCAGGCATGGAGGGATGGAAATCAGCGGAGGCAAATCTCAAAGGGTTTATTCCAAGAAAGATCCAAGACTCGCTCAACGACCAGCAAAAAACTGCATTGGGAAAAGAAATTAAAAGTAAATACTTTTCTGACACTTTCGACCAGAACAAAATTTGGGACATTGTCAAGCTTTACACGGACTACTTGTTTGCCTATCCATCGATTGAAGTAAGTCTTATAATTTTAGTACTATAAAAACACAATGTTAGTACAGTATGTAAGTTGAAGTTTTTTTTTGCTAAATGCATTATGAATTCAAGCTTTAGCTTTATATAAACTCTAAATCAGCCAAATTTACCTATTTAACAGCACAATGACTAATTACAATAACTACCTTCTTTCTCTTCAAACTTCTGAGAAGCCTACGTCACCCATTCCATATCGAAACTCCACGACTTTATCCTACCCAACACAAAATACATTGACCGTGTCTCTTAAACCCCTACTTTACCAACCACCTAAAATTCCAACATATAAAGGCCTTACCAACAAACCAAACCAACCCATAACATCCACATCCAGCAACTACACCCTACAGATTGAGCAATTACAGTACCATATTATTATTATTCACACCACCTACTCATCGTGACCTACAGCCTTACCCACAGATGGCTGCCACAGATATCCAGCATCCGTCTCATAAATACACCCAGCATCTTTCAAAGCCACTTCCCTATCCCAGGCTAAAGAGGACTAGAATGGGCCCCGGGAATAGCCCAGAGGGGTTCGTCACCAAATCTTGTGTATTTTCAGGGAGTATATTCTAATATTCTAGTCTTGAACTAGTTGTTAGATTAGAGAACGATTGGGGTCTTCCAAATGTCAATGTATTTATCTTCTACAATTAACCGATTTCTATAGATCGACACCTTTCTATTCGTTGGCAGAAGTTGCCATTCCATTATTGTGTTGAATCAGTAGTCAGTTTTATTTAAACATGAAAATAGTTGGAATGAGTTACCGACTACTTATATTTGTCATGATGCTCCAACGAAACTAAATAAAAAAGAAACTATTCCAAACCCTTCCAAAAAAACCCAAAACAGATTATTATTTTGTAGCAGATTTATGAAGATGATAATTAAATTTGGTTACTTTTGCAAACAAAATGACTACAGTTAGTAAAGTTTTCTAGTATTCTGGCTTGGTTAAAGAGTGCCAATCCCAAGAGGAGACCTTTTCTCTACCCAAAGGCACACTTCCACTTCGATAGTTCCTCCAAATGGATGTGACAAACGCATCGGATTGTCTCATACTTCCTGGCCCGAATATTGCCAACGACAAAGGGCTTCGGGGTAGAAGAGATCCCTTTTCCCTCCCACTCTAGACCTTACTCTACCTTTCCCTTTTCCCAAAAAAAGAGGAGTGACTCCACCCCTTTTACACTGTGAAGCTTCGGCTGGCCTGTTGTGACCTCATAAATTCATGTTCTTGTATGAACAGAAGACATTAACATTGGAGGACTTTGTCATATTTTCAATGGACCCTCTAGTCTAGTGTACAAAGGCGACGAGTCACTTGTCGAACATCTTTCCTGTCAACTTCAATGGCTAAAGTACTTTATACTCATCCACAACCAAGTTTCTAGATTCCAGATGGTCAATTTCCTGTAAATTAAATCAACTGTAGTACATTAAAACCTTAACCACAGTTTTCCATTCCAGATGATCAATTCATTGTCCAATATAACGTACGCATATGTGTTCGGCTACGACGGCACCTGGTCAGCAATGCCTAACTTCATCTCCAAGTACCACTTCCAAGGGGTCTACCATGGCGCAGACATGGCTTACTTGTTCTACTCCTCTCAAGACATTGGCTCCTGTACGACGAACAGCCCCAACTTGGTTGTCAAGGACTACATGGTCAAATGGTGGACCAACTTTGCGAAGAACGGGTAAATATGGTTTTGAAGTAGCTGAAACTAGAAACTAACCTAGGCTTATAAGGTCAGTGTAGATTCATGAATCTTTAGGGGAAGACCATGTCGTTAAAAACGCATGGAAAAATACTAGCCAAAGTGGCAAGCTACAATCCAACTGAATAGGGAGGTTTTAGGGGAAATTTCCGCTTTTACACAAGACGGATTACTGCAAAGCATCCCAATCGTCATTCCGGTTCAACGTCTCGGTTGACCGAAGACATTTTACAACTATAAATACAGTTAAATCCATGTATGCATTGCTGATAATTGTTGAATGTCCTGTTTCAGTATTCCCGATGCCACTGGCCAATGGGGTACAGCGTCTAACGGCTTCTTCCGCGTCTTCAACACAACGATATCATCTACGAACTCGTCTATCGTGCAAGATATTTACTACAACTTCTGGGATAACTTGACTCCCGCCAGCTTAAGCTCTGCGTCCAGTTTTAAGACGAATTTGGTTTTAATTTCATTACTTTGTATCATACTAAAACGATTTTTGTAAACATTGTAAATATTGTAAACCGGGAAAATACAAGTAATGTTGAGCTGGTATAAACTTGTAAATATCTATCGAGATTTGAAATTTCTATTGAACAATGTGTTAATCAAAAAGACCATACGTGTAATGTTTCATTTTATGGTACACCATAAAAATATTTATTACAGTGTACCTTAACTGAAAATTTATATTAATTTGTTTTTAATTTTTCACAATATAGAGTAGAAAATTTTGTTCCTTGAGTTTTAAACAACGACGTGGTTCTCGCAGGAGAAAAAAAACGAATAAAGTATATTTTAAAATAAAACCAGTCCAATATCGAACGGATTTTTCTTTGTATTTAACCAAACAACCTCAGCTACTTCTTGCCAATTACCGTAGAGGTTTGTATAGATGCAGAAATACCTTACACTTTTCAAAAGATATATACATTTTTGTCATCAAGCCATTAGTAAAAAAAACAAAAAAAAACAAAAAACCAAATAGAAATGCAGGTTAATAATTACGCAAAACAACAAATATAGAACCACCTTACGAGACGGCTAGGCTAATTAAAAACATATTAAGCCCTATTTACACTTTTACCAAGTTGGTTTGAAAGTGAAATTCCATCGTACTCTTGTAAATCGACCCAAGCATTATGCAAACATTAGCCAGCTTATTTGAGACACAAACAAGGTTTTTGGGATGCAAATTTGCGTTTTACCGAAACCTACATTAGGTGAAAAGGACGAGTAGCTCACAGATCTGGTTATATTACAACTTGGTTTAGTTTATACAATGTTTTGTACTTTTTAGTATCTTTACGATAAAATAAATAAATGAACTAAAAAGTATAAAACAATGAAGTAATTTATTTTCAACCTCACATTACAGGCTAAAACAACACTAATAATAGCCTCAACGGTTTTCAAAATCAACTGTAATATGTTAAGAGATGCAAATGAGTAGCTTGAAATGTAAATATTTCAAAATAAATTTAACATATAAAAATTATAGAATCTAAGCAAAGCACTTATTTTCTAAAGGGAAAAATTAAATTCTGTAAAAATGTTTGTTGGTGTAGTCCGATAAACAAACGGTTGTTTTGTACTGCAATGCATCTGAAAAAGATGTAATACTTTCAAAATATATATGTCAGAGGAAAAGAGAGGAAATAAGGCTAGGAGCTAATACAGCAATTCCGCCCCGTTAGGTTGGTATCAATGTTTCAACAATTGGATTCTCAGCCAATCAGCGCCGTGAAAACATTGTACGTGGCAAATTTGTTTCCTTTCCTGAATACAAATGAAACTTTTATCCCTCCTGCACGCATGTATAAGAGATAAATATTATATTTTAAAAACTGTTGTAAGAGCTTATGGTTGAGTTTATACATGATTGGCATATTTTATTTTTTTGTAAGGGACTCTACTGATTCGGTTACACCATTAAGTCGACCTATGCTCCTAGGGATAACAATCTATAATAGCTTAAAAGAATAAATATTTATGGCTATTATTGATATACCAAATCTCAATACTTTATCTAAAATGGTAAAAAAATATATTACACCATTCCGGGACTTTTCAAACATACGTTATAACCGAACATGCTATATTCACACAATACTAGATTTGAAACAACTCTAAAATAGTGGTAGACGATGAAATCAACGAGTTGATTTTATTGTAAGATAATTAAAATTTATCAACGCAAAATGTTTTTAGCGAAACTCTGTTTTGCAACTACAAAAGACACATTTTTTACTTAATTATGTTGGGAGAAGATACTTTGGTTGATAAAATGGTTGCAATGACGTCTAAAAAAATCATAGCTTTAAAAGGAAATAGAGCTTTTTTATTAACCAAGCATAATACATGTAGCGTAATACATATTTCTCATGGTTGTATCTAGACAAAGCCTAAATGTAAACATTCTTCACGTTTCTGTACATAGTCAAGGATTTCTTAGAACTTGAATTTCGAATCAAGTCAAGTCATATTATGGTTAAATCAAAAGAGAGATTTTCAGCATCCGCAACCTTTCATCATAGCTGGATAGGCTGAAGATAAAATTAAAAGTAGACTTCTCATTTTTCGTGTCTAGTTCATGCACTGCACGATAGTGTCGACGCAATTTTGTTTCTATTATTTTAGGGTTAATTTCTTGATTTGTACTTTACTAGGGGACGAGTTATTGTTTAGGATTAGATCGTATTTAAATCAGCGGAGAGTAATTTACAAAGTAATAGAAAAAAGACAGAACCCTAAGGTTAAGGAAAACTAAGGTGGCCAATACAACTGTTCAAAGGAGATCTCACAAACAGTAAATACATGGGAGAAGACAGAAGGGGATTCTGGGAAGGCACCAAAGGAATGATAAAACAAGTCAAACATCAGCTTGCAAAAACCCACAAACTATTAGAGTCCAGTTCCCCTAAGGCATCTTACTTGCAGATATTCTCCCCTCTCGAAAATACAAATGTAAGCCAACAAGACACATTTTCAATGGTGGATATAGCTCAAACGGGTAAAAGGATCAAACTAAGGAGAAAACGGTCGAATTTGATATTATCAAAGACTAAGGAAACGTACTAAGGAAAAGCTTTGTTTTCTTAGTCTATGATATTATGTAGAAGTTGTAAAATGTGAAAGGGTCAAAATATTTTATAAAATATAATGTATTTATTTGATGCCACAGAAATAAACGGTATTAGTGAACTGGGAATCTTATTCCTTTAGCTTGTTGAAAATTCTTATCATGGGTAAGTGGTGGGAGTGACTATGATATTTCATGGGGAAAATCACAAAAGTTGCATCACTTTTTGAACCAAATTTTGCACAGTAATTGGGTTATTTTGTAAAACTTTATTTTGAGGTAAATAAATTAAAGCAATATTTATAAATAGTAGTAGCAGCATTACAATATAGGAATATAACAAGGGGGCTAAAAACAAACTAAAATATAAAAAAAACATTCGGGCCATGTTTAAAAAAAATCAAAGTGTCCCGTTATTTTATTGGTTTTTATTGAAAAATCACTATGTATGTAAAACGGATATATCCACCCAAGACTCGAACTCGAAAAATTTGACGAAATTACTACGTTCTTCATAAGCTATGTATATGGGGAAAAAGTAAAAACAAATCAGGTTTAACTGGTTTGTATCGAAGCGTTTTTTTTATCTTGGTAAACAGGGTAATGTATAAGTTTATTTCAAAATATAATAAGAATGATGTGTATAAACAATTATATTAAATTTTAAATGATTTTTAGTATGTATGAAACAAATATTAGAGAAATACAAATAAATTAACTAGATACGACAATACACTTCATTTACAAATCTGTAAAGTTAAACACAATAATCACGGATTCGCTTACGATTTGTTAGCTCAAGACGAGAATAACATGAGGAGATTCTTGGAGAGTGTTATTTTATATTCTGTAAAGATAGCGGATAAACCTTCCACGTACAAAGGTACTCTTATCTCTGATTGGTTCGAGATCCAATTGTAAAAGCAGTGATACCAACCTAACAAGCTGAATGGCCAAGCGGTTAGTCTTTAAGTCGTTTATTTTATCACTAAAACGGTTCTTTATAAATTTTTTGGTTGTAAAAATGATTTTATTAATACGAAGGATAATTTTATTTACGAGAAAGCAGATTTGTTTGGATTACAAGTTTGAAATACGCTCAAAGCAAAATATCCCATTCACTTTTTTTGAATCCGCTTACACATTTTATCGTTGATTAGCTTGACCACGTTTAGAATGAATAAATGCGGGTAAGTCCTTACTCCCTGGATTGCTGCCGATTCCACTAGTTGTTTTCTAACCACTTATAAACTATTCAAACTCAACTTATGGAAGTGTACTTTTACGACTAAGCGATTCAACAACAATTGACTCATTGCGATGAGAGATTTTGAAATATAATAGCAAATCTTTATCTGATCGGAGTTGATGGAAAGAAGAGGTTCTCTTCCATTTCCCTTTCTAAAGTTGGTGCTGGTATGCTTGTATGTGAGTACTGAGCACACCCACAGTCCTTCACATCTAAGGTGGTTTGTACTTTTTCTCGCCGCTGTAATGACAAACACTTCAAGCGGTGAAATCTTAGTACCAGTCTAGAGAGGCAATCGAAGAAACTCGAAGACACTTCATAGTTATTGTCAATGATAGGCAAGCCTCTATACAAACGCAAATCCTTTAGCAGCATTGTAGACAGTCTTTGGGCCACCAGACCAACGAACTATAGGTTAGGATCAAAAATTACATTAATGGATATAAGACATAAGATCAATTTATTTCCTTTAGAACTCACAATACACAAGTCATTTTTTTTTCATTGAAAAAAACCAAAAAAATACAATAGCGTTTTATAGATATAAAAGCGAGTTTTGTTTGTTAAAAGGTAATGTTGTTATTTCTTATTGTCATTTGCTTCAAATGACTCAAACTTTGCGTTTTTGATTTTAGACACCTTAGTTCCCACCTCAGCCAAAATATTTACTAACTGGTCTAATAAGTCCTGATCTTCTTTATCATTAGTGTTAAGCAAAAAGTAGCCTTTATTGTTTATTTTTTGCCAATAACATTTCTCGCTACGATAAGACTTAAGGTCTTTTGTGTCAGTGATTTCAATTTTTATAAGATGGTTGCACTTTTCTCCCGGAGTTGTAATTTACCTTCTTAAATTCCCGGTGTTATATTGAAACAGTTGGCTGATTTTTAACGAATTGCTCTGTTTTTTCTTAAAAAATTAAGCAAAATTATCCTCAGTGTCTGAATCATCATCCTCGGATGAGGAATCTGAGGATCTTGAATTATGCTTATCATCATTACTCTTGATTTCTTTTTGTTTTTTTCCTAAAAATAAATTTCTAATTGTGTGCGTTTTATCAAGTTTTGAGTGGTCCCAGTAACTGCTTTGTGTTGGTAATTTAAAACTTTACGAATTAGTGAAGCTATATTTTGCACTGTGTTAAAATAAAATGTTTTTTCGTTGAACTTTTTTTTAAATTCTGGTTTGAATATTTTTATCAAGTCTTCGAAATATAAGTGGGTAAAACGTATCTGTTCAACTTGATTTTGGGACAATGAACCTTCACAATTGACATGTGCATATATTTTTTTAATGTTTCAAACAAAAGAACAATTGTACA